TCAATCCTATAATGAAGGTATTGCCTCTATTTTGCAAAAGAGAAAACTGAGGCCCAGAGAGGTCACATCTTGCTCAGAGTCACATAGCTAATAAGTAAGTGTCAGAAGCAGAATTCAAGACCAGCTCTCTTCCAAAACCAAATCTAGCTTTTTCCTACTATAAAAGTGTGCCTCTAAACAAATGAATTGAATCTTCAGATCTGACAAGGGAAGTTAGTGGGAAAGAGGGAAGTGGCAGAGGTGGGGAGTAATTATGAGGTTTACAAAATAGTTCTGAGCTAGAGTGAAGAACAACTGGAGCCCCAAATTCTTCTCCGATCTCAGCCTTTAAGGCTGGCAGATGCTGAGAAGAATGAACACAAGAAGTGGTCAACTGATAAGCACCCTATAACTCAAAGTCTCTCCATGGAAAGAGGCCTTAGTTATTTCTATCAAAGCCTCCAAAAGCAACACCTGAGCACCTGGTGCTAAAGGAAGAACTGAAAGTATTCTCACCAACTCTATTCCCCAATACAAGGGAAATCTTACCCCAAAAGGGAAGAGAAGTAAAGGTACAGTTTGGTTTAGAAAGTACCTAAATCCCCTTCTCACCCCTCCTCCACCCCTTTCATCCTGCTATCTCACCTCTCTGGGGCCAGGTATCCATGTAAAACTACTGGCTGAGGGCTTAGGGAAACAGATAGGGCCAGTAATAAAGAGAAGAAAGAAAAGAAACAAGGAATGGAAAACAAGTAAGACTAAGGGAAAATAAGGACTGAGATAAACCATTCCAGGAGGATTCCAGTAGAGCCCTGAATTCATAATTATTGGATACCCCATCAGTTCTACCCTGGGTGGCAAATTAAGGATTACAGATGTTTTGAGGTTGAATCATTATCACAATGAATTTGTGGAACCTCTCCACTTCGCTCCCAAATAGCATCAGATGCTACCAACATTTCACAAAGTAAACATCACAAAGAGCACCAAACTAATGACAAATCAGCACCCAGACTAAATGGAGTAGGGAGGGGCCCAACCTCAGGAAATTCCACCAAAGATACAGGGCAAATTAAAGAAAGTTGGGCAGCCAAGAGAAAAGTTGGTGGTTATTAAGCAGAGCTTGGAGGGCTAGGTAAGATGTGCATTTCTGGAAATAATCAACCCAATCCCAATATGGCTGGTGCTTCTAGGGATAGAGTCCCAGGTTCATCTTTGAGGTTAAAGGTCAGGCAAAGAATGAAGGGAAATAATTAGAAAGAAGTGGGGGGAACGGGGAAGCAGGAGCACAGAAGTGAATGGCAGAAGAGAAGTAGGGAAGCTCTATTGAACTCAATGCTCTGGCTTTCTTTGGGTCTCAAGTACAGAAAAAAGGGATAGTGAGCATAAACTTGGCCAGGGAAAAGACCAGTGATAAAGGAAAGGGACTTGAGGAAGCCAGATTAGAAAGAACCATGGAGCTGTGAATACTCACCATCCTACCGTGGTAAGAGTCCTGGCTGCCTGCTTCTCACTGTAAGGAGAATAAAGTGGAAGGGAAGGTCAGGATCAGTGACAAGAGCTACTTTTCTCTACATCATGCAGTCAGTGGATCACATGGCCCAGCCCTTCCCAAAACCATCTCCCCCACCCTGGAATCCAGCTTCCCCATGAGTCATTAAAGCACTGGCTAAGGTAATGGAGCTCTAGAAGATAAAAACTGAAAGGCCAAGTTCCTCTATCCCTTAGTGCCTATTCTGCAGGGCATGGAACAGGCTTCACAAACTTGTAATAGAGATGCAACTTATCGGTGGTTACCCAGTAAATCAATGCTTCACAGCCCAGGTGTCCTACCTCTCAGCCTCCCGAAGATAAGCATAGGTTCCAATCCCTATTGCTTGATAAAGTCAGCCATCCCAAGACCTCAGGAACTGACAGCCCCCAAGGGAAGTGAAAATTCCCAAACCTGACTCACTCCTACATGCCTTGCTCCAACCTCCTTCTCTTGTAGCCCCAGTGAAGTATAAACCCAAAAGGAGTGGTGGCCTAGAGTGTGTGAGGCTGACCTGTTCACTGTGAGCAAAGTCCAAGACAGACGACTAGAGGGAGATCTGAGCCTGGGACCAGAGGGCAGTCAAACTGGGAAGGGGCTAACCAGGAATAACTGGCCTGGGTCAGAAACAGAAGGTACTGGGAGGAGGTCACCCACTCAATCTCTGTAGGATGTAGGACCAGCCACAGGAGAGGATGAAGGCCCAAGAGCAGGCGAACTACCTTCAGTTGGATTTGGCCGACAGTTTTCAGAATTAAGGCTCCCTTTCCAACCCCACTCTGAGGTACCAGCAGGGCTGAAGGTGGCATTCGTCTCCCAACTGCCACCCAAACTCAGGGGGTCCTAGCTGCAAGAAGCCCTCCCCCCATCCCCCAGGAAAGCTTCTGGGAGAAGGGCCTCGAAGGGGGAGGTGCTCCCATCTCCCAGGGCCTGATCCGCTTCAGCCACCCCGACCCTCCCTGTGTGCCCAGGTCCTCCCAAGGCCCCAAAGCCGCCTCTGGGGAGGGGCAAGGCTGTGGCCCCTGAGGAAGAGAGAGAGCGCGGGCAGCCTGGCGGGCGAGAGCCGGGGCCAGGCCATGCAGCCGGGGACTCCCCCGCCCTCTTTGCCCTGGGAACCCGGCCAGTTCAGGGCTTCCCCAGCGGGACGGGTACCGGGTGGGACGGAAGCCTGGGAGCCCAGGTGCCCAGGTCCGGGGGCGGGGCCTGAAGCCTCAGGGGGCGGAGCCTAGAGTGACAGGGGGCGGGGCCCTAGGGCAGATGGTGGGGGCGGGGCGGGGACGTAGCGGTTCCCGGTCCGAACAGGCTATGCGCTGGACGCGGTGACTCACCGGGGCCGCGGCCGTGTCTGGCCGACCCTCCGAGGCCGCGTTCCCACCACTTCCGTCTCCCGCAGCTGCTGAGGCCGCGCAAACGGGACCCTGCCACGGGGCCCTACTCTCCAGCCAATCATATCCCCGCCTGTGCCCGCCCTGGCCAATAGCCACGCTAAGTCCCTCCCCGCCCACACCGCGCAGCCGTCGCCCTCACTCTGTACACTGCTCATTGGCTCTGATGGGCAGACGCCTTCCCAATGCTTCAGCCTATCTGGTGGTGACAGAAAAGAAGGTATCCAGAGAGAGGAGGCGCGGCGCCCAAGGAAGAGAAACAACCAATGGGAAATCACAGCGCGTCCCTACGGCGGCCAATGAGTAGACAGCAATGGAAGGATGGGCGTTACGGGAACCGGAAATGAGGTTAGTCCGTCGCCTACCGGCTGGGCCATGAGAGGCGGGGTTTTGAGAGCCACCTCCAGAAGCTCCGGGCTTGCCTGATATTTCCTCGCGCACCTTTTGTACGCTTTTGTGTCTCATCTTTCCCGTCCCGGCCTCTCCTGTCTCCGTGGCGACTGAGATTAATGGAGTGGGACACGGAAGAGAAGGAGCCCACGAGTTCAACCTGGGAGAGGTCCCAGAGAGCAGCGTGGCCTATTCCCCTCCTTGGGGACCTGAGCTTTCTCTCTTACCCGGCCTCGTGTGCCGGTGCTCACAGAGACCTACCGCCCCTGGTTTCTGCCCCGGCCCTCCTCCCCAGCCATGCCTCTCTTGATACCCCGTCTCCCGCCTCCCACCGTCGCCCTTTTCTTTCCTCTCCCGCTCTTTTCGCCCTCTCTTACGCTCCCTTTTCCTCTGGTGCCTTTCCTCCCCCACTCTCTTTCCCCACATCTGTCCCATTTTTTTCCTCTTCTCTTTCCCCCTCTGCTCCCTTTCCACCCCCTTCCCCTTCTCCTTTCTCCCTCTTTGTGACCTTCCCCCCCTCCCCCTCTCCCTTACTCACCTCCTCAAGGTCCTCTTCTCCCTACTTGATTCCCCCAGCTAGGCGGTGAAATGGCTAGAACATTGAGCCCGGAGTTAGGAAGACCCGAGTTTTACTGTGGCCTCATAGACTTACTAGCTGTGTGAGCCTGGGCAAGTCACTTAGCCTCTGCCAGATTTTCCTCAACTGTAAAATGTGGATAATAGCATCTGCCTTGAACGGTTGTTTGAGGATCAAATAAGATGCTTGTTTAAAAAAAAACAACAACACTTAGCACGGTGCCTGGCACTAAGTAGGCACTATATCAGTGCTTATTCCCTTCCAATCCCCACTCTCCCTGTGTCCTTGTACTTGCTCTTTCATCTCTTAGCCCTGACACCGAAGAGCCAGCCTGTGGAGAGCTGAGCTAGGCTGACCCTGATAGTCTGGCCCTGAGCAGAGATACCCAGTGTAAGAAATGGGAGATCCAGGCAAGGAGTCCTGACCTACAAGCTTTATCCCAGCCTAATCTGGGCCACCCTCTTGCTCAGGGTTTCTTTTTGTTGTTGTTTTGGTTTGGTTTGGTTTGATTTTTTTTGGGGGGGGGGGAGGCAGAGGAAGGAGAAGGAAGATTAGGCAATAGTGAACCAGGCTTTTGAGGTATGTTCCTCTGCAGTGGAGCTTGGGGCTTAGCCTTCACTTTAATTCATAGAGCTTGATCCGGCACAAAATACTGCCAAGGAAACCGGACTTTCCAACCTAAATGTGTTATTATAGAAAGTAATGTGCATTCCCTCCATGCCTCACTGTAGTGTGAGGATGACCTTGATTTCTTGAAGACCCCTCTGGCAGCTTTTTAGGTATGACCTGGTGATCAGCATACTTGGTCACTAGGTGATCAATTTTTTCAACGCTAGCAACTTGGAAAAAGCACCCAAGCCCGAAAGTGGTTGCTTATGAATGTGTAAGGAAAACCCACACTGATAAAATCATAAAACTTTAAAGTAATGTGATTATTAAAAAATATTTGTATGTTCCGGTTTTCTCAGATGACATCCTTGACTAGGACCTTTGGTCCTATCCTTACTCCCATGCTTCAACCCACTGGAAAAAAAAAAGAGAGTAGGTCATCCAAATTCCCAGCCAACCTTCAGGCTGCAGCCTGAAAAAACTGGGGGTCTCAGCTAGGAAGTGGAGAGTACAGTTGTAGGAGCCAAGGTCAGATTCCGATTTGTTAGACTTTATTTCTTTTGAGTCTCTAGGGAGGCAGCAGGGACATAAGGCGAAGTGGCAGTAGCTTGAGGGGCCAGAGCAGATCAAGAGCTGGGAAGAGCCAGGAGAAAGAGGAGGAGACATACATCCAAGGCAAGGGAACTAACTAGTTCTTCTCCTTCTTCTGTCTCTGAATTTTATACAGCATCTCCTGCATCCTTCGCAACTGAAATAGACAAGCACATTGACCTGAGCCCCAATTCTAGATATCAGGAGATCCTCAAAGTTCTGCTTTCTCAGACCAGATCTTTCATGGCAAGTTTAGAGGCAATCTTCTCCAACAGTTCTCAGAGGTCAGTCCCCAAGACCTTTTCAAGGGATCTGTGAGGCTTCAAGACTATTTTGATAATATTAAGATGTTTTAATTTTCAAATATGGTAAATATTAATAGATATAATCCACAAAAACATATGCTATTGGGGGGGGGGCTCAATCATTTTAAGGAATCCTAAGACCAAAAATATTTATCTGGTCCAACCTCTTCACAGAACTCTAATTAGCAAGTTCTCTCATTTTCGTGGCAATCTCCACTCCCCCACCCTATGCAAAAAGGACTCTGGCCGGAAAGTTATTTGGGAAAGTCAATGCTAGGGAGTAGAAGGGGTAGAACTTGGGGTTCAAGGAGGGAATCTGATAGTTTCCTACTTTATTTTTGCTAGGCTCAGCAATTCTTGTGTTCTTGAAGGATTGCAAGTACTGTTGGGCCTTCTAAACGTGAGCATTCTGGGGTAGGCCTTGGTTGCAGAGGCCTAATTATGGTTCTTGCACATGCACAAAATTTAGAGATGGTACAGATCCCGAACCTTTCCACTATTCCCATGAAATTCAGCACTGGTTTGGGAGAGAATAGTGTTGAAATCCCCTGATGAGGCAGAGGACTTGGACTGCCTTGGGCTACAACCCAATCCCATCGTCCCATCCTGCTCTCACCTCCTCATCTTTCTCCCGGAGCAGCTTCTCAGTCTCTATGTCAATCCCAGACAGGAATGCTGCTGGGATGGCGAAGTCAGAAATATTCTCTCGAGTCAGCTTGCTGAGAGGTCAGGGGAAATGGGTGCCAGTGAGGGCAAGGAGACCCCAGGCCCCTGCCTGGATTCGGCCCTGGGGCCTGAAGGAGCAGGTGTGGAGGGCCTGCTCCCATCCACGCCTGCCAACAGCTCTGCTTGGGCTCCTGGGGTTGGCTCTTCCCGTCCCGTCTGCCCTCCCCCCAGGACCCCTTCCTGGCCATACTTGCGATTTCTTTCCTTCACCACCATTCGAGTCATGCTCTGGATGCATTGTGCCCGATAGTTCTCATAATGTATTTCCCTTGTCACATCCTTAAGATCCTGCATATGGGTGCGTACCAGCATGGTCCTCAGCTTCACAAAGTCGCAATGCCCTGGATTTTCCACTGCATGGCAAGGCTGGGAATCAGCTTAGGTTGAGACTGGGGGTGGGGGGTGGGGAAGGAGGCAGCTGAGGGCAAGAAAGTATTCTCCCTTCCCTGGCCCCACAAAACTCAAGAGTTTTACCTTCTACAATACCCCAGGGATAGAGCCGTCCCCGAACACGCCGTCCTTTGGCCTCCACCACAGTGTTGCTGCCGATGACAGCAAAAGGGATACTGTCCTAGAAGAAGGCAGGGTTCCCATCAGTGCCTACCAAACCTGCTCATCTCTGAGGCTTTATCTGCCCTTCTGACCAGAGCACTTTAATCCCCAAGTATGCTGATACACTCAGCCTTTAAGATGGTCTTGAGTCCTTCCCAGTGGTGGGCTGGAGCCAGTTCTTAACTGGCTGATGAGAGCCAATTGTTAAATTTTCAGTGTGAACATTTTCAGTCATGTCCTACTCTTTGTGACCCCATTTGGGGTTTTCTTGGCAAAGGAACTGAAATGGTTTGCCATTTCCTTCTCCAGTTTCAGGAAACTGAGGCAAACACTGCCTTGCCCAGTGTTACAGAACTAGTAAGTGTCTGAAGCCAGATTTGAACTCAGGAAGATGAGTCTTCCTGACTCAAGGCCTGGCACTCTATCCACTGCACCACCTAGCTGCCCATTTACAACTCAGAGATTACTACAAATCGGGGCTTGATTTATTGTTTTGTTGATTTTGTAGACTTAAAGTAATAAAGTGTTAATAATGCAGATTAAATTTAAAAGTGTGTCTGTGTACATTGCCCCCCTCCCCCAAAGCTAATTGTTTAACATTTACCAGCATATCACTAATCCTTCCCCACCCCAACTGTTCACCCTGCCACAGACCTACTCTTCAGCCCAGGAGAAATGGGATGGGCTAACAAGAGTAAAGGAAGAAAGGGAACTTCTCAGTAGGGAGAGAGTTGCTTAAGCTAACTACACTCATCTCCAGGGTCTCCACCTTCAAAGCCTGGTCCTGTAACTTGAATTCCTCATCTTCATCAGAGTCACAGGCTGGGAATTGATAGATCTGGATTCCAAAGTGCTCAATTTCCTCTCGAATCTGAGCAAGAACACAAGTTGTGGGGCTAGTAAGGTGGAATGGAATGGTTCCCAGAATCTGTACCTCCCTCCTTATCCATCCCATTCACCAGTGCCCCACCACCTGCCTCACCTTTCGTTTCTTGTGCTCTACTTCATTGGGTGTCAGCGTGTCAGCCTTGGCCAAGATGGGCACAATGTTGACTCGATGATGCAGGGCCCTCATGAACTCCACATCTAAGGGTCGGAGCCTGGGGAGTGGGGAGGAGAGAGGTGGCTCCTGGACTAGTAGCTGTGCTGTAGCTTTCTCCATTCCAACATCCCAGCCCTGGGGTACTCAGAAGGAACTCAGTGCCTCCAGACAAAAGAAACATACCCATGGCCAAAGGGAGAGATGAAGTACAGGCAGCAATGCACCCTGTTATCCTGAATGTTCTTACGGTTGAGGCCGCTTTCATCCCGGAAATACTGTTCAAACTGCTGATCAATGTAATCTGCCACTGGCTTCCAACTGGGACAGAGTTGCACAGACAAAAGCATGGAGACCTCATGAACAGTCGCTGGTTCATGCTTTCAACAAACACATATTAAATGCCTACTATGTACAGAGCATTGTGTTCCTACTCTATGTGTCCCCTAAGGTTGATGGGCACTTACTGAGTGGTAGCCCAGGGACCTACCCTATGACTCAAAACAAGTACCATTTTTGTTCCCTTATATTCTGCTTGCAACTTATTTTATTGGTTCTCATTAAGAAGCAGGTAGTATGATGTGGTGGACAGAGGGTCAGCCTTGGAGTCAAGAAGATTTAGTTTCAAGACCCATTACTTAGTCTCAAACTAGCCTAAATAAGGATAAGGCTATAGGCTATAGATTAGTAGCTAATTTGTATTGGTAGAGGGAGTTTGCACACTGGAAACAACCTATATCAATGAGATAACAGGTATGGAGAAAATAATTTCATCATCTTAGATAAAAAACTCAGTCCAGGGCTGGGCATGTGGTAGGAATTTGATATGTATGGTTCTTGTTTGAAGAGAGTAGGCAAGGAGAAGAAAACTGGACTGTCATAGACATCAAAGGAGAGCCCCCAAACCAGGTGAACCCTGAGCTATGTTCAATTAAAAACCTTGGTGGCATGTTCATTTCCACCTTCATGCCTTTGCTCTCATTATTCTCTCAGCCCTATGTCCTCCTTTTCTCCAATCCAGAACAACAGCTGATACCTAAATGACATTATGAGATTTGGTTTACAGAGCATTTGACATAGGTGATCTCACAGGATCCACAGTACCCTGTAAAACAGGTAATACAATTATTAATGTCTCCATTTTACAGAGGGAACAAATGAAGAGAGTTAGGTGACTTGTCCGGGGTCACAGTGCTGAAGGTAGCCTTTGGGCACAGGTCTGCCCATACTCTGGATATGACTCGTCACTGCACTGGGCTACCTCTGACCACCCTCTGAAGCCCAGGTCAAGTCGAACCTCCTCGCCTGATCTAGGCTGAAGTGATTCCCCACTCTCCTCCATCCTTTAAATTCTCCTAGCACTCAGGACATAACCTGCAATTTAGCACTTAATTATACGCAATTTTGTACTGTTTTCTAGTGGTCTCATTGGTGTGTTGTGGTCATAGAATCCAGAGCTAGAAGGGACCCTAAAATATTATCCAGTCCAATCCCATCATTTTACAAATGGGAAAAAAAAAAACCTGAAGATCAGAGAGATCACATGCCAGAATCACAGATTTCAGAGTTGGAAGGGACCTTAATAGACATCTAATCCAACGCATCCCCAAAATGAATCCCATCGTGACACATCAGATAAGAGGTCATTCCAGCTGCTGCAGCCCCTGTTTGAAGAACTCCAATGAGGCCCCCCTCTAATTGTTAAAGCAAACCCTTTCACTTTGGGACAGCTCTTTCTTAGGAAGTTTTTCCTGACATCAAGACTGCATTTTCCTCTCTGCTACTTCTACTCATTGCTCCTGGTTCTGACCCCTGGGGGAAGAGAGACCAAGTCTAATCCCTCTTCTCCATGCAGCCCCTCATCAGCTAGCATGTCCCTCATGAGTCTTTTATGCTCTAGACTAAACATTGCCAGTACCTTTTATATATAACATGCACTCAAAGCCTTTCACCATCCTTGATGCCTTTTGGACACCCTCCAGCTTATCAACATGAGCCTCACATATTCCAGATGTCACTGTAGCAGCAAGTGGCAGAGAGCAGGGATTTACTTCTGAGTCCTCTGACTCTCCATCTCCTGAGCTCACACACTTTTCCTTGTCTCCCCAAATAGACCGTCACTCTTCATATCTCTGTACCACTCTACTATGTACTAGTACATACTAACTTGGTCCTAGCACAGTGCACTAGGGTGTAATATATTCTCAGAAAATGCTTTTTGATTGATTGAGGGAAGAAAAGTGAGAGGACATAGGGCTGCTGCTGGATAGAGGGAGAAGGGGAATGGCTTCAGGACACATAGGCAGAAGTAACACAGTAATCTGTGCAGAACTAGAGCTTTGGAGAAGGCTCCAAGGCCTGGCTTGTTTTGATAAATTCATTGAACTCAAAAGGGCTTTTATGTGGCTTAAATAATGTGTGTAATGCACTCTGTAAACTTTAAAGCACTATGTGGATGTTAGCTATTATTGACAGCTCCCCGCACACTTGTTGGGAGACACTGCCCTAGAGCAGGAGGAGATAAGTATGGCTGCATGGTTTAGTGAAAACAGTGCCAGATTTAGAATCTGGAAAGACTTGAATCTGTATCCAGTGTCTGACATTAGCAGTGTGACCACAGGCAAATCACTTAACTCCTCCATGCCTCAGGTTCCTCATCTGTAAAATGAGGATAATAATCCTTATAGAAGAACCTACTTCATATGGTTAGCGAAAGGATCAAATAGCATCATATATGTAAAGCACTTTGCAGTCCCTATAACACTATATAAAAATCATTTGATAATATGTCATCAACATAATACATACCCAACACTGGGCTATGAGGGAAGTGTAATCCCTGACAGAACTTCCAGAGGGGGGGGAATACAAACTGCATAGATGTGAAACTAATAATTACAAATAATCATCCAGTCAACCACTAAATATTTCTGACGCATACTATGTAACCCAGGGCAAATCATTTAGTGCTCTAGGCAACTCTCCAAGGTACAGGTTGCAACCTAAGTGCTGGCTTGTAACTGTGGAGAGTTTTCTTACCAGCAAGTTCCCTATACTAGTGAAATCACATGTTCTTTTATCTATCTATCCCCTATTCCTATGTGCCAGACATTGTCTGGGCACTGGGGATACAAATACAAAAAATGGAACAATTCCTTTTCTCAGTTTGCTTAAAGACAGGACAGGTTGGGCAGTAGGATCTCAGAGTAGCAAAGATTATTTGGGGTGGGGGGGAGAAAGAGAGTATGTGTGTAAAATTTAGAGTCCATGAGTGTGTGAAATATACATATATATACACACACACATAGTATGTACATATACATAAATACACAATCATACCTACACATTCCCTCACTTCCATAAAAGTGATTATTACACAAAGAAGTCATTGAAGTACCTGGAAAAACCAAGGATAGGCAAGGTACATATATGGCAAGATCCTCACTCAAAAATCTTCAGTAGCTCCCTATTCCCATTAGAATCAAATACAAACTTCCCAGCCTGCTATTTTAAATCCCTTACACTTTACCTGAAGCCTATCACTCCAAACTTAGTTTATATTACTTCCTTTCACAAACTCTCTCCTGCCTCCATTCCTAGAATGCAATCCCTCTTTCCCAAGGGCCTTTTAGAATTGTCTTCTTTTAAGACAGCTTGGTACTGCCTCCTCCATGAACCTCTTTTGTTTCTGAAGTTATTAATATTCTCTTCCCTCCTCAAATTATTTTGTATTTATGTATCAGTGTACATGGATTTTTGTTGTTGTTATTGTTGTATCCTTTAGCAGAAGGTAAGGCCCTTAAGAGAAGGGATTTGTTATTTATTGTTCTTTATTTCCTCTGTGGAGCCAGTGCCTGGTTCACAGTGTCCTTTTCTTCTTCAACTCCTGATATCAATGCTCCCTCAAATAGTCTGATTTACCTGTTCCATAGCCTGCTCAATTACCATGATCTATTCCTCCATTCCACTTAAGTTATATAGGGATGGTCGTACCTTGATCTTGCCATCGCTTTGCCATCCACTTCCCTGTTTAAGAATTTTGAAATTCCTTCATTTGATCATCATCTTTTATCATCATATCTTTCCCTATGACTTTTGACCCCTAATCCTGTTCTTTGCCCTGACTATGACCTCCACTGCCTCTGGTTTTTTCCTAGCTGTCACTCCTGCACTGGCCTACTTCCCTACAGCTGGTGGCACAGGAGATAGAAAGCCGGACCTGGAGTTGGGAATATCTGAGTTCTGGCCAAGTCACTTAACCTCTGTTTCCTTCAATTTCCTCAACTGTAAAATGGGGATAATAATAGCACCTATCTCAAAGGGTGGCTTTGAGGATCAAATGAGATGATATTTGTTAAAAATAAATAAATAAATAAAGTGCCTGACACATATTAGGCACTATAGAAAATGCTTATTGCTTTCCCCTTTGCCTTATCTCAACTCTTTGGTGAACCAACCTCACTCTACACTATCCTCTACTCTTTGAATCCTTTGCCACTTTATCCTGTTCTATTGTCATGCCAAGCCCCAACCTTGGATATCTCCTACCACCACCCTCCTTCACTCCCATTCATGTGCTATGGAACAGAGTTGGAGGAAATCATGAAACCATGCTGATGGGCCCACTTCAAATTTATGTGGTCTGCATTACCAGTGTGGAAATATGTTTAACATGATTGCACATATATGACCTATCTCAGATTGCTTGCCCTCTTGGGAGGGAAGGGAAAGAGGGAGAAAAATTTGGAACTCAAAATCATATAAAAAATGAATGTTGAAAACTATCTTTACAAGTAATTAGAAAAATAAAATACTATTTACAAAAAAAAAAAAATTATGTTTTCTAATCTTAATTGAACCTTCACTGCAGCAAGGCAAACCTTCTGTTCCTCCCTAATTGTGTCACTGTGTCACTATCCCACTATCCATAGCAATTCTTCCTAACCTTTCCAACTTTCCTCAAGCCTCTCATAGCACAACCTCTTCCCCTTCCTCCCAGGCTGAGGACCATGCCTCATATTTTACCCCCCAAAAAATTGAGGCCATTGTTGGAGAGCTTTTCCTTCTCCCCTGCTCCTCATCTGTCATTATTCAGACACTTTCTAGCTCTGTCTCCTTCCTTCACTCTGATCTTCTGTAAAGAGGAGACCCTTTTCCTTACCAAAGCCAACTCCTCAACATGTACCCTTGATCCCGTCTCCTCCCATCTTCTCTAGAAGATTACCACCACTCCCATCCCCATGCTCTTTCATCTTCAGTCTCTCATTCTATTGGCTCCTTCCCTGCTACCTATAAACATACCCATATCTCATCCAGTCTTGAAAAATCCTAATTTTATCCATCCTTGCTTACTATCATCTTATATATCCCTGAGTTTGAGGTGTATGGCGTGTTCAGGAGGACTAGCACTTCTGGTGTGGGGACTTGCTGAACCCTTTTCAGGGCCGCTCATCCACTTTTGGTGTCCGCCTGATTGACCCAACTCTCACCTGTGGCCCCAAGAACCGTAAACTGTCTCAGCAGATAGCTAAACCAGGTTGAAGGTAACCAACAGGCCTCAAACCTGAGTTAGGAGAGTGTCTACCACAAGTATGTGAAGACTTTGCCTGGTGGAATGGGTGGATGACAACAATTTGTTCCAATGGCCATGGAGGTGACTGAGTGCTTAGAGCTTGGTCAGACATTGAAGACCCCAAAGCCATCCACTGTATCCCAGGCCATGGCCAGTTGTCTTGATTTTCATCCTGCCACAGGTCTCCAGTGACTCAGAAAGAAAGAGTGAGGGTGAAGACTTTGTGCAACTCTGCCTCACTTAAATCACACTCAAGACAAGACATCAGCCCATGACGTTATTGGTGCTCTTTGACGAACAGCATTTCTATCTTCACAACTCTTGTATGCACTTCTTTCTCTCTACTCACAAGCTGCTGTCCTGGTGCAGGCCTTACTACCTCTCACTTGCACTATTACAATCACCTTCTAACTGGTCTCCCTGCCTCCCACTCCCTCTCTAATCCATTCCATCCTCCAATCAGCTACCAATGTGGTTTTTCCTATTTGATGAACTTCAGTGGCTCCCTATATCGAGGATCAAATATAAAATCTTCTGTTTGTCACTTAAAGTTTTTCATAAACTAGTACCTTCCTACCTTTCCAGTCTTCTTATGCTTCTTTACTCCCCTCCCCAGACCCTACAATCCAGCGAAACAGATCCACTTGTAGTTCCTTTAAAGTGGCATTCCATCTTCTCTCTCCAAACCCTGACACAAGTTCTCCCACATGCCTGGAATCTCTCTTTGCCTCCGCCTGTTAATTTCTCTAGTTTTCTTTTCAAGACTCAGCTCAAATCTTACCTTATGCAGTAGGCCTTTCTAGCTGCTAGTGCATTCCCTTCTCAGATTACCTTCTATCTACTCTGAAAATAGCTTCTATGTACTTAGTTATTTACATGTTTGCTTCCTCCAGTAGAACATGTGATCCTTGAAAGCGGGGACTGTTTCTGCCTTTCTTTGTATTCCCAATATCCAGCATAATGGTGGCCTAATGCTTAATACGTGCATGTTGACTGACTTCTATCCCCAGGACCTAGCACAATGACATATATGTAGTAGGCACATAATAAATGTTTATTGAATTTAAGTTAGTTGAAGCACAGCCTCATTTGCAAAATTTTGCTTCAGGGCCTGGAGTTTAAACAGATTAATACCCAGTCCTTTTTCTTAGCCACTCCCTTTTCTGACCATCCCCTCCTCCCCCTGGCGGGTCTCCCCCCGCTTCCCCCAACCCTAACCCCACCCCACATCACTCACAGTTATTGTGCAGTTGAGAGACAGTATGGCACAGTAAAGAGAATGACAGACCTGGGGTTGGGGAAGACCTGAATTCAACTTCTGGCTCTGACATTTATTAGCTGAGTGATCTTGGGCAAGTCACTTTAATTTATCTGAGCCTCTGAAAAAGGGAGATGAAATGGTTGCACTGCCTAACACACAGGGATGCTTTGAGGATATAATTTTTGTGAATCTCAAAGCACCATAGCACAGAGTGAGCTTCATATGTGTCCCAACCAAGGGACACAAGGCTTGAGACACAAAGTTGCTTGAGACCTACCCTATAGTCAGACCCATCTCCCTCTTCCTCCTGGATCCCATTCCCTCCCATGTTCCCTCCTCCCTACCACCTCACCCTTAGCAAGAAGATTGGGGGTGGGGAGATAAGATCGCTCAGTGAGAGCTGTACCACTCAGTGTTGTTCACAGCATCTCCAAAACCTGGTGTGTCCACGACTGTGAGCTTCAGCTTGACACCTTTCTCCTCGATGTCCATGGTATGTTTAGTGATCTCCACTGTTTGCATGATCCGTTCTGGAGAAGGAGAAAACTGAGGCCCAAGCAGGGGCAGGGAGATGTACCCCAAATCACATGGGCCTCATCTGGACCAAAATCCAGGTGTCCAGCCTCACTGCCCAGACCTCCTCACCCTCCTGCATTCTCACCCTTATCTGGGTGCCTTTTCTATGGGAACCAGCAAGCTGCATGATTCCCAACACAGGAAATGCCGGTGGCTGTTGGCTCCAGCCCCAGCCTCTTCTCTGCTCCAGGATTCTCTCTGGATTCCCGGAATCCTTAGGGGGTCAGAGACCCATTTAAGAGCACATGACTCTGGCCCCTGCCCCCTCTCTACTACCCTGCTAAGAATGCCAGACTGGGCAGGGGTCATCACAGGGAAGCCTCAACCCTCTCCAAGGATCTGGAGAAGTCAGGACGTGGAGGGAAGACCTCCACCCATGGAATTTAGGGCCCTGGTTTTCTAAGAGAAGTGGTAGGTCTGCCTGTTCCCCTTCCTTGCTGCAATCAGCCAACCCACTCACTCCCCTTTGCTCACCTTCAGAATTCAATAATCTTCGGTCCCGGTACATGTCAGTGAGGAAGAGACTGTTGATAAGGGTGGATTTGCCTAGCCCGGACTCTCCTGGTGGGGAGAGAGGGCAGAGGCACCAAATTAGGTATGGGAAACAATAAGGAGACTTCTTCCTAAACTAGGCATATGGTATGGGGGGTAGGAATAGAATGGAAGGGAACTGGTAATAACTCCTCTCCCTCCTATTCTGACTGAAAGGTTAAAGCTAGAAAAGCTATCTTAGAAGTCATCTAATCCATCCCAATTATTTACAGAGGAAAAAGCTAAGGCCCCCAAAAGAGCAAATGACTTGCCCACAGTCATCTAGGTATTTGGGTAGCAGAACCAGAACTAGAACCCAAGCATCCCACTTCCCGGTTTAGGGTTCTTTTCCCTGCACCATATTGTCTCCAATCCATGACTCTTCAACTACTTGTCCAGTGTCTCCCCTTCCTTCTCTCCCCCCTCCCTCCCAGCACCTTTCCTGCCAATAATTTAGAGCATATGTGGCCTTTGATGCTCTCTTGGTATCCCTCTCCTTTCCCCATGGGAGACTCCCCAGTCCCTACCATACCTGCCACCATGAGGGTGAAGTCAAAGCCCTTTTTCATAGACTTTCGATGAACCTGGTTGGGGAGAGTGGCAAATCCCACATACTCCTTATCATCCTGTCAGAGAAGAAGCCTTGTTAAGGGAAGGGCATAGCAGGATTCCCTGGACCCAGATTTATCCTCCCACTCACAACCCTGGAAAGTAGGTGCTCATGGTCCCACATTGGACCCAGAGACTCCAGGCCAGGTTTACTCCTGCCAGCCTGTCCTCCTGGCCCTGTTGACTCTTACTGAGTAGCCCAACTTTATTGTTCCGAGAGAATAATGAGGGACCTGTTGGGGACATCATGATAGAGTCTACCAACTAGGGACAGAAAATCCCCATTATCCCTTAAAGTCTTCTATATACATCTACACACTATTCCCTCTCCTTTCTCTCTTAGCCCTTCTTAAGGGGGAATGGGAATACCCTACCTCACAGGAGTCATAAGGGTCCAGCCTGCCCCAGGGGCTTCGAGGCCTGCTTGAGAAGCTGAGCATGCTTGAGGAAGAGATGCAGAGGTGAGCTTGGGTTTCTGGCTGGATCCGAGAGGAACTCCTAGACTCTTTGGTCTCAGACTCTTCATAGGGATCCAGGATAGCAGGGAGGCATAGTTGGGAAGGGCCCATTGCCTCAGGATGGGGGACATCACCCCCAGGGAACTCTTTTACAAACACAGCCAGCTCTGCTTCCTCCGTGTCCTCTAGGAATCTTTTAATCTGGTGGGGGAGGGGAAGGATGAGGGGAGAGAGGAAAGGCAAGAAACAGTGAGAGATGGAAGAAAGTAGGGAGAGGAGAGAGAAATGAAGGAAAGAGATTTGAAAGAAGAACAGGAGAGAAGAAAGAGCTCATTTTAAAAGGTAATGAAATGTTAATAAAGCTAAAGAAAGCAGGAGTTCCTCACCATACTTACCTTCTCTCCAGCCTCAGCCCTGTTCAAGACTCCCCTCTCCTGGAAAAATGCTCCCCCCAACTCCTTATACACATATACCCTTTACATCTCACCATAGTATTGATGCCTGGCTTTCTGAGGCACAGCAGAATCATGGGAACCTATAAATATGGATTTACTCTTCCCTGCCTTCCCCTACCACACATCAGAACACCAAGCTGAGCTAATTCTTTAGGGGGTTGAGAAGTTGGCATAGCTGAACCCAAGTACCATCCTAAAGGCCTGTGTCAGCCCCAACGAGGGAATTAGCAAGAACAAGGAGTAGCCAGTCAGTAGAGAAAAGATGACCATAAGGGCCAAGGGAGTGACTAGGACTAAGTTGCCTAGGGGCCAGGAAACAGAGTTGGTTTTGAGGAGGCTCTTCCTAGTGAGATCAGAGAGATAGAGGGCAACCTGTCCCTCCTCTCCAAGCTGGGTCAGTTAAGTTCCCCTGCTGCTGAGCTGCTGGCTTCAGGAAGGAGCTGGGCTAGGAGCACAGAATTGTTCTTGGGAATGAAAGTTTCAACCAACCACATGAAACCTCCAGGAATTTCAGTCTTCATTCCCAGGTCTCAGACACATTAATTCCGGGAGACACAGAGAAGCGCAGAGCTGGAGTAATTCAATTCAACATGCAAGAAGTAAATTCCTGCATTGGGCTACAGAGATGGAGAGGGGCTACAATGAGAAGGGGAAGACATAAGAAAGTTGAGGAAAAGAAGAGAGAGGGACTGCAAACTTCCCTCCCAGTGGGAGAAGAAACTTGGTGAAGGCCAAGGAAGCAATCCTGCCTTTAGTTGTGCTGCTAATATAGCCTGGGTGCCAGTTTAGGATGGACATCACTGAGTGTGGCTAACCAGCCAATCTTTCCATTGTACCCTTAACCAAGCTCTAGCTGGTGCCAGGTGGGGAGCTCTGGACTAGAGAGCATTCTCCTCTGGTTGGCACCTTCATAGTGAGGCACCTCCTTTGCAGTCAGACATTCAGGGAATGTGCCCCTGTGGGGAAGGCAGAGAGTTAAGCAGAGCTGGAGGCTCATATGCATAGTCCTGCCCCCTAAGCCCCAACCCACATCCCCAGCCACCACCCTTCCCCCTTTCCCCACCACCACTGCCCTTCTCCTTTGGTGGGCAGTACCCTCTGCCAGGAGCCTGGTGGTGCTGGGCACAACCCTGCTCTACGATATCCACGTGCCATCCTCAGACAAAGGACAAAGGCCTTTGCGCCCATGTCATCATGGAAACTAACATTCTCAGAGGACCTGGGCAAAGCAGGTGGGAGGTGACTCCGGGGAGCCCCTAATGATTAGAGTCTAGAGCCATAGGCCTGGAGCCCAAGAGCTGGCATCCAAGAACCCTCCTTCTCCCTGCCCCCCTTTCACAGACAAGAGAACTGAAGGAGAAAGACCTAGTAAGCCAATTCCCAAACCTTACTGCTTCTCAGTTCTATGCAAGAGGCAAACACAGAAGACAAGGCCTCCCCACGGCTCTCCAGGCTTAAACCCCTACAACCTGCCTGTTGCTATGACTACCAGCGACCTTGGGGAGGGGAGGATGGGAAAACAGACTGAACTGCATCCCTAAGGCCATTTCTAGCTGAATCCCAGAATGTGGGAATTTATTGATAGAAAGAGGCTGGCTTGGGGGTAGGACTTGACCTAAAAAGGCTCTTTCCATCCCTGATGCTTCTGATGCCCTGAGGGAGGAGGGGGGCGGGGAGGGTGGACAGCAGGGTCAGTCTGGCTGGCAGCCCAAAATCCTGGGGAATTCCTATGAGGACCTCATCCTGTCCTCCCTCATAACTACACTGTGACTGAGCAGTGAGTTCTGGTGAAGGGGTTGGGGAGGGGATTGCAGGGGGTGTGTATGAGAGAAATGTGGCAAGGTTGCCAGGTCTGACTTCTACCTGGGCTGCTAGCTTCAAAGCAGACTCTCTTCCCAAGGGAATAGAAGGGGAAGAAAGGCCACAAGCATTTGTTAAGTACCTGCTATGTGCCAGACACTGTGCTTAACCCTTTACAAATATCTCCTTTGAGACTCACAACAACCCTGTGATGTAGGTGCTATTGTCCCTATTTCACAGATGAGGAAACTGAGGCAGACAGAGGTGGAGTGACTTCCCCTGATCATACAGCTGCTGAAGTGTCTGAGGGTAGACTGAAAGTCAGGTCTTCTTCTAACTCCAGTGTTTTATCCACTGTGCCACCAGCTGCCTCTAGAAAGGGGGATGCCAAGGAAGATGACCAGCTCTGCAGACCCCTAGCAAGGCTGAGGAAGAACCAAGCCCAGAACCTAAGAGGCCAGCTTTTTGGTCTGTTCGCTTGTCCCCACCTCCTGGGCATCACAGCCTAGCCTGGCTTCCAGTGTAATGATGGATTTGGTAGTGATGAAGAGGTAGGAAAGGCAGGGGACAACAGTATGATTTGTTATCTGCATTGGAAGGAATGATGGACTGGGAACTCCCCCCAAGGTTAAGCCTCTGGGCTATCTTGCCTGAGTCAGCAGCCAAATCATTTTCTAACCCTCCCTCAGTCTTCTCATCTTAAGATTATGAGGAGCAACTGCCACTTATTTAGGACTTTGAAGCACTTTATCTCATCTAAGCTTCCAAACAACTTAGGTGTGACTTAGGTGCTACAAGTCTTTATTAGTTTATCTGAAAAATGAAGGGCTTGGTCCACACGGCCTCAGAAATCTTGGCCAACTCTAGACCTAGGATCCTCTGATCCCCATTTTACAGATGAAGAAATTGAGGCTCAGAAATAAAATGACTTGCCAATAGTCCCATACCTTATAAATGTTGAACACAGGATTTGAACCCAGGCCCTAAGTCCAGGGTGCTTTCTGCCATAAAAATGAATGGGGAGGACTATTTGCTGAAGTCTGTTTTCTAGTTCTTCCACATTCACAACCTCTAAGCACCTTGCCAAAGCTCTGAACCTATCCTCAGCAGCAGAGTTCCCATCTGATCCCAGCAGAGGTGATCATTCTCCCAGGCTTCAAAGCTCCCTGTCAGCAAGTGCTGAATCTAATTTTATCTTCCAGGAAAGCAAAGTTCCTCACAGACATACCCAGCTGTGCCCCAATGCTCTTATTTGCAATCTGACTGCCCCTGCCCCTTCCTTTCCCTCTCTTTTTGATCCTATGCCTCTGGCAGGGACCAGCAAAGCCTGTGGAATGTCTTTCTCCCTACCCTTCCCTTTTCCCTTTAGTCCCCTAAGCCCCCCGCCCCTCACCCTGCCCCACCCTTCCCCGCTGGCTCTGCACCCCACCCTCCAAGGACTGCTGCAGCAGTATCACTTGGCTCCCCTGCAGTCTCCTTCTCTGATTGGCCACCCCACGATGCTCTGCCTCCTGTTTATGCCTGGTGGGCACAGCACAAGCTTCTTAAGTCCTGCCAGCAGAACTAGTTTCTGTCTCAGATCAGTGTCAAGCATTACCCATCCTAGGGCACTCTCCAGACAAAGCGCCTGCCACAGCAGGAAGTGATAAAATCTCTTAGCCCACACCCTATTCCCTAGCCCTGCTCCCTGGACAGAGTTTAGCCTACAAGAAACCCCAAACCCACTCCGAAATTCCCTCCCTCCTTTTTTTGCTCCTGTTCCAATGTTCCCCTAATTTCAGTTGCCTAATATACAGCAACCAAAGAGGTAGAGGTAGGTTGCCCCCAATCCCTAACCCTAGAGCTGAGAAACCATGGCAACAACGGGCTCTCTTCCCCAGTGACCCCTTGTGTCCTCTAAGCAGAAATGTGTCTCCTATAGCCCTTCTCTTCCCAAAGACTGGTTTTCTTTAGAGCAGGAATTCTTAACCTGGGGTTCATGAATTTTTTTTTTATTGTTTAGTATTTTGATAACTATATTTCAATATAATTAATTTCCTTTGTATCCTACATAGTTTATCTCAGGTATTTAAAAAACATTTTTTTGATAAGGGATCCATAGGTTCCACCAGACTGCCAAAGAGGTCCAAAGATTCCATAGCACCTCTGCTTAGAGAATTCACTCTGGGATCTCCCAGTCCCTGGGGTACACTGGCTTAGGGCATGATGTCAGGCCTATCCTCTTCTGCATGGACAGCTGGGTGTGGGAAGAAGAGAGGTAAAAAGAGGAGAGATTTGCCTTGGCTAGCTGCTAGATCCTTTCCCTCTGGGAAGTCCTTAAGACTGGAGAAACCAAAGCATAAGGTCAGTGTAGAACTGCCAACTACTCCCAGAGCTATAAATGAAATGGGAAATGGAGAGAAAAGCCTGGAAGACCTGGATTTCCAGTACTACAGTTAACTGCCCCATGTGAGTTTTTATGCAGGTCTTAATGTCAGGGCCTGATTTTTTTTTTCTAAATGTGAAATGGGCTTCTCCTTCCCTCAGAGAGAGTCTAGGGAGACAAGGCCAGATACCTCTGGCAGCTTGAATCTGGAGGAGGAAAGGTGTCACCCCAAGCCAAGGGTGGTTGTTAATGCCCTTGCCTTTCCTTCTTTTCACTGACAAAGCCCTGGGGAAATCTTCCCCACTGATTCCTAAATTTCTATTTCACATGCAAGAGGAAAGATACTCTTTACATACTGCCTGAGGTGAAGCAGTGAACCAAGGTGATGGATAAACCCTCCAACTGTGAAGATAAAGTGCTGCCTGGAAGTCTGTAGGCCAAATCTTGAGGAACTAAACAGGCTTCAGGAGAGCTCTCTCTCCACATCCCCACCTCTACCCCAATCTCTCACTGGCTGGGGACTAAATTGGGTTGGAAGGGCCAGGACCTGAAATGAACTGAACCCAGTGTGTGGCCAAGATTGGTCTCCCCCTCCAGTCCCTGCCAGGCTTAGAATCCAGGACAATCAATGTTCCCCCAGGGTTCCCACCATTGGGACAATCAATCTGTCTGTCACTCTCACAGGGACAACAGGAGGAAGGGAAAGGACACTACTTTGCCACTGCCAGGGCCTCCACTGATCAGGGGAAGGTCATAGGGTTGAGAGAGCCTTCCGGGCCAAGCCAGGAAAAAGCTTGACAGTTCATTCCGGGGTCCCAGAAAATGATTATTCTCTCCAGACCTGGAAGCTCCTGATTCAATGGGGCTCTCAGAGAGTGCCCTTCTGGAGGCTGCCCATAGTCCATATCCTGCTGTCAAGAGCTGGCTCCCAGTTCTGCTGCAAACCCTGCACTCAGCCATCATTTCATCCCCTATCCCTCCCAAAAGAGGGAGCACAAAAAAGAGACCAAAAAAAGAGGGAATATATGTGCTTTCTAGGTTTGGAAGAAGGAAGCCCCCAGAGGAGCTGGACTTGTTTTAACCATCAGTTAACCTTACCCCTCTTCCCCCATGTGTTTGCTGGGAAGAGAAAGTTTGGCTAAAAAAAGTCCAGAGAAGCAGGTTGGTGCCTATAAAACAAACTGGGCTGGCTCCAGGGTCAGCTTGGAGGGGAGAGGTTATGTTTTTCTTCCCCAAGGAATCTAGGCTATAGAAATTAAGCTCACAAACATAATCCAGTGACCATCATCTGTCTAGAAGGGAAAGAACCATCATTTCCTTATGAAGTCCTATTGAAGAGCTGAGGGAAGGGGGGGCGGTGTTGTGTGCTGGGAATTCCTAGCCTGAGTGGAGACAAGGGTATAACATATATTTTTCCTTTCTTGAGGGAGAGAAGAGGGGGGAGCTAGGGCAGAAGGATCATAGGATTTAGAGAAGGGACCCTAGAGATCATCTAATCTAATGTCCTCACTTTACAGATGAGAAATTGGAGCCCAGAGAGGTAAAATTGACTTGCCCAAGGTCACAGAGCTAAATAATTAATAAAGCCAGAATTTGAACCCAGGTCTTCTGACTCCAAATTAATTGCTCCTTCCAGTGCCTATCTTTGTAAGACAGGCAGTGTGGCATCATAGAAAGAACATTGGACCTGGAATTAAGAAGGATTCAGATTTATATACCATCTCTTTGAACCTCAGTTTCCTCTTCTGGAAAATGGGAGCAATGGTATATGTACTCCCTTCTTCACAGGGTTATCACAAGGAAAGAGCTATGTAAAACTGTAGAGTATTAGACAATTCCTGTTCATAAATTTCCATTGACATAGCTGAGAAAGGGTCACAGAATTACAGCTGGAAGGGACCTTAGAGGTCAAATTTCATCATTTTATGGATGAGGAAACTGAGGCCCAGAGGGGTGCAAGGACTTGCCCAAGATTGCACGGGTACCAGGATGCCTCTTTTCTCCCCACCCCCACCCCTGCCCGCCTAAAGCTCCTAAGCTCTCTGGTCATCACTGAAACGCTTCCCCTCCCCCAGCATTCTCATCTCCGATTAGCCCAGACAGACCCTCTCTCCCAGTGCCTAGCTTAGGGTGACTCTGGGCCTCTTTTTCTCCTCTCCCCCGCTAAACCCCAGGTTTCTCCAGTCAGCATTGCCCAGTCACCCTTTCCCCTCTACTACCCTCTCCCTTCCCGTCCGAATGGAACTGGTCAGCACTCATTGGGGGTCCGGGTGGGAGGCAGCCGGGAAGGAAGAAACTTGAGAGAGACAGCGCTGTGAGCCGGGGCCCTGGCCACAGTGCCCCGCGGCAGGATGCCACCTTGGCAATGCTCATGACCACGGCGGGCTGGGGTCAGGCCCAGTAGCTCTGGCTCCCCGGGCCCCGCATCCCGGCAGAGCGTAACGAGTCCCCCATGGAGCTGCCCCAGGCAATGGACCCCCAAGGCCAACCCAGCTCACCCCAGCCTAAATCGCCCAAACCAGCCCAGAGTTTAGCCGCCTTACCATGGCCGCTGCCCGGGCCGGGCCGGCTCCTCCTGGACAGCACCCTAGCTTTCCCGGCTGTAGCTGCGCTGCCTGCCTGCCTGCCTGCTTGTTTGCCTGCAGACCGACCTCCGCATCGGCAGCCCCCCCACCCCTGTCTCCCGCCGCCCCGGAGTGCGGACCGGCTGGAGGAGGAGCCAGTCGAGCCAGGTGGGCGGGATAAGCCGGCCCTGAGGAGGGGCCCGGCAGCCAAGAGCTCCCAGAGAAACCCCAACCGATGGCCTGGGGGCGGCTCTTGTCCTGGAGAGGGGCTGAGTCTGCGGCCTAGGGGCGGAGCAGGGGTCTGGGGCTGCCTGCTCAGGTCATAGGATTGAGACCTAGAAGCGCACTTTAGTAATAGCTTCAACTCCCTCATTTTACAGAGGAGGAAACTGAGGTCCAGAAAAGTAAGGTGATTTACCCAAAGTCGCATAGCCATCAAAGAAACGAGTGGAACCCAGGCACTCTGACTCCATCTCCAGAGATCTTTCCATTCACTACGTCCAGATTCCCTTGTGGACTGAAAGACCCTCCAGGAAAGTGAAACCCTGCCTTCCAAGCGTACCCTCCCCTCCAAGCCCTGCCCTGCACCATAGAAAGTTATCAATACAATGAAGCTGAAAAATAGGTGAATGTTGAACATATCTCCTTCCCATTCCCGCTCCTTCCCCAAAGAAACAATTATCAACTACACAGATTTTACCCCTCCCATACCTAAAAGACCAGAGGTCTCCCCTTCCCAAATAAAGATTTTCCAAATCAGAAGGCTAAAAAGGTCTGGGAAGTTGCCCTCAATGGTGAGGCCTCCAGTAAGAACTCTAATCACTGGGGATTTGCTCCTTAACCACCAGATGATCAACCTCTTCTTCCTCTGGAAGTGTGTGGGGAAGATTCTCAGGAAAAGACTGTCTCATTAACCAGGTCTAAAACAGCTGGTTACTGAACTAACTCCCCTCATTCACACTGCTGCCCCTGGGGCCCCAGAAAGGCAGGTGAGCTGCAACGGGGACAGCTGCTATACTGGCTTTGCAAACATTTAAGTCCCAAAGGGATCAGAGCAGCAGTCAGGGAGGAACAGGGGTTCATGAAGAAGGGAGGCAGGTTGCCTGAAAGATGCTCCTGGGCCTAGCACCCAAGGGCTAGGACCTTGGGCAGACAGAGAGGGAGGTAAGCCCTAGATGGGAGAGCATTGTTCCTCCTCCCTGGCAGCTCTCCTCCTGGTGGCAGATTGACTGTCTAGGAGAAGAGTTGAACATATCACACTATCGTCCCTCCCCCCGCCCCATCCCTAAAGGCTGACCAGAGCTGAGACCTAGTGTTACAACTCTGACTATGACACTGGGAGCCTAGGGATGTTTCCTACATCCTCACAACCTGGGAGGGGAGAAGGGAGTTGATAAGAGGCAGGCAACATGCCCTCAGCAGATGGCAGGCAGAGAGGCCAGAGGACTAAGCAGCGGGAGGAGGGTTCATGGGGAGCAAAACCATGAGGCCATGCAAAGGACAGAGATGAGGCTTGGAAACATGCCCAGGAAGATATGGGGCTGAATGGTGTAGTGGAAATCTCACTGGAATACGAATCAGATGACCTGGAGTCCAGTCCCAGCTTAGATACTTTATTAGCCACGAGATCACGGACAAACTACCTGGACAACAAGCCTCCTTCCCCACCTGGAAAATGGGATAATACCACCTTCATCACAGGGCAGGATTTGTGAGGGTCAAATAATGTGATTTGTGGAAAAGTGCTTGTCAACTATAAGCCATTTTTCCCCCTGGCCTAGCCAGGCAGCTTCATTGTGCAAATTCCCTTTACTGTCATAGATCAGCAATTTATATCACTTAGAGACTTTGAGATTGCTTGAAACACAAAGAGGTTACATAAAGATAGCTTGCCCTTGGTCAAATAGCTAGTATGTGTCCATGGCATGACTCTAAAGCTGGCCTTATCCCCTGTACCATCCTTCCTCTCTTTGCAAATCACTAAACACATAAAAAGGAGTTCACTCCCACCCCCACCCCCAGCCCCTATAGGGGCATGTTATTGGGCAGATCACTTGGCCTTCCCAAGCCTCAGTTTTCTTCATCTTTAAAATGGAGATAAAAAAAGCCAAAAGACACTTTAGAAATCAGTTAGTCCAGCCTTCTCTTCTTATAGATAAGTTAATAATTGTACTAACATAATAACTGTTCATAGTATTATAGATTTAGAAATCATCTAATCCAACTTATCATTTTAGAAATGGAGGAATTGAGGCCAAAGAGAGGCGACTGGCCCAAGGTCATTTGCCGAGGCAGTCGGTAGCACAGTCACTCAACCAGCTCCTCTGATTCCCAATACAAAACTCTTTCCATTGTATCACGTGACTCTCCCGAAGATGAAATGAGATAACGTCTGTGAAAGGGTTTTGTAGCCGTAGAGTGCTATGGAAAAAGGAAACTACCATTATTGTCCTATGTGACTCCATTGAGGCAGGTCCTGTGGATTCTCTTCAAAGACATTACCGGCTTCAAGCTCAGAGGATAAGGAGAATCAGAAACTTGATACGGAAGGCAAGACAGGGTTAGAGGTCCGGGCGTAACAGAGCAAGTGAAAGCCCTAGGCAGAAAGGAGTGGCTAGTGTTCTCCCAGCTATCTGAAGAAGAGAGGAAAGGCTAGTTCTGCCATCTCTAAGGAAAAGTTCCAGGGACTGGGAGAATGGGGAGAAAACCCAGGGTTGGGAGCCCAGGATCTTGACCAGGATGAGAAGAGACCTCATGACACAGAAAGGTAAGGCTCAGACACCAGGGGGGAAAAAAAGCTAAAGTGATTGATTGAATTGTGGGGAATTAACAGGATCAGAGATTCAACATAGGAAGATACTTTATAAATCATCTAAATCCAACCCCTTCTTTCGGCAGATGACAAGCACAAGGCCCAGAGACAATAAATAACCAGCCCAAGGTCTCACAAGTGAGAAGGAGTGAAATTGAGATTAGAACTCAGCTCCAGGTTCAGATTCTTAAAATCTAGCCACTGCTCAGATTCTTATAATCTAGCCAATAGCTCAGTAATGTTCAGATTCCTTAAGAGTCTGCCCAATATGATGGATTTTCTAATAAATTTTGTCTTTGGCTAAAAGAAAAAAAAAAGTACTCAGCTCCAAATCCAGTGTTCTATTGTCCTGAACTGATTACTGTTTGTTTTAATAAGAAATGACTAATATGAGGAATTTAAAAAATTGGGAAGCCTTGTTGGGAAGTACAGCAAAGCAAAGAAAGCAGTGATTGGAGTCCCTGAAGCAAAAAGAACACTGAAAGGAAAGTAAACTGGAAGTGATTACAATGACCAAACCCATGGTTGGCCCCATGGAGAGATAAAGAAGTACCTTCTTCTTTTTCAGGTGACAATTGTGAGTAGGGAGTGTTGCCTACACTGTCAAACAGGGTCAGGGTGGTGGGTTCTAATTGTTTTTGTTTCTTTGTTTCAAGGGTTTAGTTGGGAATGGGGGATATATCTGGGAATAACTGAAAGAACCAGAAAAGGCATCAATGAAAAGAAGGAAGGAAGGAATATGGGAAGGAAAGAAAGAGGGAAGGAAGATGAGAGGGAAAAAAAGGAAGGAAGATGGGAAGAAAAAAAGGAAGGAAGGAGGGAGGGAGGAAAGATGGAAAGGAAAGAAGATGGGAAAGAAGTAAGGAAGAAATAGGGGAAGGAAAGAAAGAGGGAAGGGAGGGAGGGAGGAAGGAAAGAAGGAAGGAATATGGGGAAGAAAGAAAGAAGATGAGAGGGAAAGGAGGAAGGAAGATGGGAAGAAAAAAGAAGGAAGGAGGGAAGGAGGAAAGATGGAAAGGAAAGAAGATAGGAAAGAAGTAAGGAAGAAATATGGGAAGGAAAGAAAGAGGGAAGGAAGGAAGAAAAGAAGAAGGAAGAGAGAAAAGAGAGGAGAGAAGGAAAAAAGGAAGAAACCTAAGGCTCACCATGGGTGCTGGAGCCAAAGGAGAAGAGTTGAGGTGTTAACCAGAATAGCCAGCAAAGTCAAAATCCTTGAGAAGCAATGAAATTAAAGCCTATCTGAAGGCCACAGGAAAGGAAGCAGCAGCTGCTGCCAGGCCTGAATTTTAAGCCCTGGGTTGCACAAAGCCCACTTTTAGTCAGCTGGCTGCCAGCCTCAGAGATTTCAGATCGTCATATAAAAATACCTCCAAGCACTTCCACCTGGTAACTGGCACAGACAGTGTGGGACTAGTCTCCACAGTTGCCGTGCCAAGGGTGGGGGTAGGGCAAGAGAAGCACACTGCGTAGTGGGGAGGCCTTTCTTATGGGACATGGACCCTCTCATAAGATCCTCCTTTCCCCCCCCCCCACTCTTAACCCTGGGCCAAAGTCCAAAATTGGACACAGAAACCTCTCAGAAAACAAGTGAATGAGTGATGTTTGTTAGTTCCCAGCTGTGCCCGGTATCCTGCTCTCTGCCACGGTAAGCACCTGCTGCCCGAGGCCTGGATGGGGCCATGTGTTTAGCTGCAGACTGGACCTGGCCTAGCTTTTGAGGAAGCTGAAGCCTCCTGGGGAGGGAATCCTGGGGCCTCGGCAACCACAGCTCATTTTCCAATCACACCCAAATCCCTAATGAGACTAAGTCACAAATGACCTTTACCTGGAAGCTGGCTTGCTCTTATAGAATGTATAATGAAAGATCTTGGGGGGACTAATGTTAATAACCTCCTAACTTGGCCTCCATATCCAGTCTACCATCTTTCATCCAGAGGCCTGAATAATCTTTCAATGCATGGTCTGAATTTGTTGCTTAAAAATCTTCAATGGTTCCCTATAGCAGACTATGGGACAAAATGCAAACCCTTTATTCCTGGAGGGCTTCAAGTCCCTCCAAGATCTTGCTTCAATCTACCTTTCCAGCTTTATGTCATAGTACTTCCCTCCATGTACACTATAATTCAGCCAAAGGGACAACCAGTGTTTCTGATCTTGCCCTCCTTCTCTCTCTTCCATATACACCATCCCCCATCTCTAGAATAGACTCCTTTGATATCGTTGGCTGCTGAAAGCCTTTAAGACTTGCTTAGGTGCCAATTCCTCCACATACTGGATACCTTCTCCTC